GTCTGAGAATTCATCTGAGTGGGTGATCATAGTAACAGGATCAGCCCCTTTGTCGGACAAAGGTAATGATCGGGGATGCACTCTCTATGATGGAAACCAAGACTACAGGCAGCCGATTTCAATTGTTGAAATTTGTTTTTGCAAAATATATTTATACAAATATATACATATATATTACGGTTTCAAAATGTTTACAAAAGGTTTTAGTTCTTGAGATCCATGTGAGTAGAGAGTGCAACACTATTCCTTGCAGCCGAGTGAGAGGTCGGTCATCTCTTGTCGGGCAGTGTTTGATCATTATGGGCTGAGATGTTAAGTGTAAGACCATTGAGGGTAATACCTGATGGGCTAATCTTGCATCTGCCCACAGTCCCTGGGTTTTTATAAGGTGGCTTGGCCCAGCGACCACTTAGTGTAAGTGTTGGGCCCGTTTAGAACCCATGGTGATGGGCTCAGGGGTTCACTGTCCATAACAGTGTATTCGGCCAGGCCTTGTAACAAAGGTTGGGTTGAACCCATGTGACTGATGTGTAGATCAATGTTTGGGTCCCACGCCATACAAAGAAGCTCAAATGGGCAGCAGTTTGGAGGGTTACTAAGCACATGGACTTATTGGACCTAAAGCCCATTTCGAACTGGTCTAATATGATTAGTTAAACAATGGCGGATCTGGGATTTGGATCAGTAGATAGGATAGGGAGTTATCCCTATCCACTTAGAGAGTCTAGATCCAAATAGAGATTTGGATCTAGAAACCTCCTAATGAGATTAGGAGAGCTGATCTAATCTACAGATAAGATAAGGATTTATCCTTATCACTTAAAGAGAGTCCAGATTCAAATAAGGATTTGAATAAGGAAATTCCTAATGGGATTAGGAGCTGATCTCTTTAAGTCTATAAAAGGAGGAGGGGGCGAACCATTTATAACATCTCAAAAACCCCAGACATTAGATCTTAGATCACACAGAGAGGAAGACAGCAACAGTGTGACTGTGCCATCTTTTCCCTGCGTTCTCCTCTAGTTGCCGCTAATTGCCAGTTCAATTTCCATTCTTGTAGGAGCAATCAAGAAAAGTTCTTGATATCAGTCTTTGGAGAAAGGCTGATCTGAAGTCGTACTCATAGCCTCCATCGAATTCTTGTTGAAGGGTTCGGTTCTTGGGAAGAACACTACTGATTCTGCTCCACCCTACATTGTGTCATCTTCAGTGGGAGTAGTCTTTGGAGATTTTTTTGGGCGTAAACACCTTCATTGGGAGTTACTGCTACTCTATATCAGGTATATCCCTCTCCTACCTTTTGGTTTCAGATGTGGTCCGGTTCTTGGTTCAAGATTGATCATTGAAAATGCAGATTTTCTAAAACAGGGAATGTGATTCCTAGATGGGAGAGAGAGAAATTTTTGAAATTTCGCCCAACCTACCTGCAGGATTCGGCCATCCATATGATGGATCTCTCATCCCTTCACTGAGATTGTTCAACTGCCAAGTCTACCATAGAAAGGTGTGGAGGCAGGATTTTTCCTTCAGGGGGCCAGAAACTAAAAAACATTAATTGAGAGGACCAAAAGCTAATAAACATAAAGTAGATGAGCCAAAATATATGTAGGATGTATGTAGAAATTCTGGAGATTTTAATGGTAGTAGGGGGTGGAGGGGGCCTGGCTCTGCCCCAGGCCATGGAGTAAGGATATTATTGAAGAGTGATTCCATATTTGTAGAGGGAGAAACTCAATGTGCAGTTCCATCATGCTTTTAGCGAATGCAGAAAGCAATCAACAATATAGAGTAGTCCAATTTCTTTTTTTTCCATTTTTATAAAAAACACCAAGTAAATGCAAACATAATCTCCTCTGTAATACACCTGGTATATCACTAAAACAGAATTAAAAGTTTACAACAGATACACAACACCACAATACCAAAACACCCAAGTAAAATACCATTCAAATTCTGAATAATTGGATCGAATATCGGATTGGGCCTCAGATTTTCACAATCAATTGAAAGCCCCAGCAGTATTGCTATCTCCAAGTCACGTCGCCCCCATTGAAACAGAATCTTTATTTTATACATGTGGAGGCACATGGAATACACATATCTTTAATAATTTATTGAATTGAACGCCACAAGCCCACTAATTGTTTTCTATTAATGTATATTAAAAAAATAATCATGCATCCCCTAATCTTTTATTCATCTTAAAAAAAAAAAAAAACAAAAAATCCTGCATTTTATTGAATCAATACAATTATCGTGAGGTTTGGATTAAATAAAAGCGTTGCGTGGCTGGCTTTCCTGAAGTTTTTTTATACGCCTGTAGGCAGTTGAGGAAGTTTTTTTTTATTATTATTATAAAATATATGGCTTTTATCATGAATAATTTAGTAGAATAGAAGAAAACAGTCAGATTAACAACCACGTACTCTGTCGTCTCTCAGTACTTGTACTTTGGGATTTTGCGATCAATATTATCTCCACTAAAAGATTCTTATTTATTTATTTAATTATATTATTTTCTAGGTGAATAAAGCGACGACATGAACCTGTGTTGGATGCATATGCTTTACCTCGGGTCGATCGGTGGAAATTAAATAACTTCATAACAATATTTATTAATTAACATGTGTGCTTATACTATACATGGTGTAAGAGAGTCTTATCCTTAGCTAGCTACAAATGCTTTCTGGCTCTATCAGTGTAAATGTTATCAATGCCTTTTCTTCAGAATCTCAGTCTCTTATGAACTGTCACTAGCTTCGCATATGATATGGGTAGTTAGGACAATTAGACTTAGTTGAATTTAGTATGTATAAGAGGATTCGATTAAATACCCTTGATTCTTTTCACTTACTGATCCTTATTTTATTTTTGTGTATGGGATCTTTTCAAGTGAGGAATGAACGAATATATTTCTTAGTGAATCAAACTGAATTCGTTCAGTTTTGAGACCACCATGGGGATAATTTAATGACTAATTCCTGCATTGGCTTGTCCATTTTTCAAAATGTCATCTATCCGGGTATTTATGTAGGTAAATGTTTTCCAGGAAACATTTATCAGGATATGCTTATTTATCTATTTTTTTAATTTTTAGGTAAATTCAGTAATGATTTTTCTTACTTATTAGTAAATGTGTATGTACATTTGCACATGATAGTATCTTTAAGATAAAACTATTTATAACTTATGGACAATTTTTGTAAGTGGGTAGTTTTTAGAGTGAGAGTAAATGATATATATACTCTCTTTATGCTGCTTAAATAGGGGATAAAAAATGTCCAATAAAAATTCTAAAAGAAAAAGGACCATTGCTCTTTTATAGGTAGTATAGATATAAATAAGAAGTCAATATTAGAATGGACAAACTTGTCCCATTATGATTTTTTGATAGAAAAATTATATATCTGGGAGATGGGTGATTTACCTAGGAAAATTAACTTTAATGTGGAATTCATAATTTATCAAATGGTTGTGGATGGAAATCACTTTCCCATTGATAGATTTTCTCGCTCCTATTTCCCGAAAAAACAAATGGAGCCTATACGTTCAAATCAAACGGCAATTTCTAAAGAAACCATGTGCTACACATCTTTATAATTTCAAGGGACAACTCTAAGTTGCGGAGCAAACCCCCTGGAAGGTATCGTTTCGCTCTCCTACCCCTTTATATTAATAAAATTTCAATTAATTTGGATATAAAAACAATTAATTAAGTAGAGTAGAGTTGTTTAGCCATCCATCTCTTTCTGGGCTAGCTTTATTTAATTAGCCGTCTGACTGGGCTAATGTAATTATGCTATTGTCGTAAGTATGGTTGTATACCCAAACAACTGTATGTGGTTCAAAAACATGCTGTTGCTTAACTGTGCCAACCATCACAAAGATTCGATAGCAAAGAGAAACCCAGATTGAGATGAAGTAGACGACGCTGGCATTAGCTTTTTTCCCTTGATATTTTGTTTTATAATATTGATTGTTTTGCTTTTCTGTATAACTAACAATCTCAAGACTACCAAACGCCAATCAGATTAATATAACAACTCGAATTTAAATATGTTTGGGTTGCAATGAACATTACCTAAAATGCTCAACTAACCCATTAATTTTGTAACAACTGAGATTCGATATGTCAACGTTAGCTCTCTTCTTATTGGGCATAGTTAATTAGTACCCATTTGGAGGGATTTTATGCATATGTCTTATGGTGATATTTGAATTGAAAAACCCTAAACGCTATGAAGTCATATTTGATAAAAATCTGGAAACCCAAAAATAGACTTATATGACCTGTAAAATCGACTTTACAGAGCTTCTCCGAAGCAATATAATTTATCAATGCAGAAGCCCTCTCAAACAGGTTCTTAATGGTGTTATTGGTACTTTTCTTGATCACATATACATACCTTTTGTTTTTTCTTTGGAAGCCTTCAGGGGAAATTTATCTTCATATCTTCTCAAGGAGCGTTTTGGTTATTTAATGAGATTGGCATGTAATTTTGATCAAGTCAATGAACTTGTTATAAATAATGTACAGAAAAAGCTGGGCTTCTAGTTTTTTTTTATTATTTTCTTTTAAGATTATATAAATCTGACTAGTCTTCATTTGAACTTACACATGATAAAGGGTTGTCGAATCCATGGTCGGTCCCTTAATTCTTCCACCACTTAGATTCTTATGAACATGTACATGACTTCTACATCTACGTTTATTTGAACCTTCTTTTCTTTATTATTTTTCTGGATCCTTGACAGTCATTTTATTATTAATTCAATCACTGTTGTTTTTCCATTGTAAATCAAATTAAAACTCACCCAGAACCCAGAACCAGCCATGAATCCTCCATGCACGACAACCCCATTTAATTTGTTTTGAAATTTTCAATTTTAAACGGCGCACATTAAACAATAATTTAGAGCTCATGACAAGTTGACTAGGGTTAAGCTCAAGTATATATATAACAGAAGTTATACATGCACAACACCAATTCAGTGCCTAAGAGTTGATAGAGAATCAACACTCTCTCTCTCTCTCTAGATCTCCCTCTGCTGCCGACATGGCTACTCTTAGTCTTTTCTCAGTTGTTGTGTTTCTTCACTTGACAGTTGTGCTTTTCGTCTCAGAGCCCACCAATGCGCAGGGCTTGAAAGTAGGGTTCTACAAGAACGCATGCCCGTCTGTGGAGGCTATCGTCGAACAGACCACCGCTCATTTCCTCTCGCGAGCGCCCAGCCTTGCCGCTCCTTTATTAAGGATGCATTTCCATGATTGTTTCGTCAGGGTACATCATTTTTAATTACTAGCTACAGCTCATCTCTTTGACGAATTAGTAGACTCCATCTTTAATTTCTTATCTCTCTACTACGTACGTGTCTAATAATAATTAAGCTTGTACCATGTGTTGATCATCGATCATTTATCAGGGATGCGATGGTTCGGTGCTATTGAATGCTACTGCTGCAAACAAGCAAACTGAGAAAACTGCAGTTCCCAACCAAAGTCTGAGAGGGTTCCAGGTTATAGACGCTGTAAAATCTGCAGTAGAGAAAGTTTGTCCAGGAGTGGTTTCATGTGCAGATATTATTGCCCTAGTAGCTAGAGACGCAGTTGTGTTTGTAAGAATTAAATATGCCATCCTTAATCATTTGTATATCTATATATATATATATATTGCTAGCTTCTACTGAGTAATTAGTTAGTAAAATAAATGGGTTACGTTACTCAATTCCTTAATTAGGATAAAGGACCATTCTGGGAAGTACCAACGGGGCGCAGAGATGGAAGAGTATCAAATGCCAGTGAGGCCTTGCAATTTCTACCACCTCCTTTTGCAAACATCAGCGACCTCAAGTCAAGGTTCCAGGCAAAGGGCCTAAGTGTTAAAGACCTGGTCGTCCTTTCAGGTTTATATCTACACTGAGAATACAGACCAGCTGGTCGATCTGTCTAAAAGTCTAATTAATTAATTATATATATATATATTTATTTATTTATGTATATATGTGTGCGCAGCTGCACACACAATTGGGACTTCTCACTGCTTTAACTTCAACAACCGACTGTACAACTTCACCGGCAAGGGTGACACAGACCCCTCAATGGACCCCAATTACATTGCTAGGTTGAAGAACAAATGTAAGCCAGGAGACAACACCACGCTCGTCGAGATGGATCCCGGCAGCCGGAAAACATTCGACGCTGATTACTACACGCTCGTGGCTAAGAGACGAGGACTCTTCCAATCGGATGCTGCCCTTCTCACCGACAGCGAGACAAGAGCTTATGTCAAGCTCCAGGCTTCTACCCATGGATCTACCTTCTTCAAAGATTTTGGGGTGTCCATGGTCAACATGGGTAACATTGGCGTCCTTACAGGTTTCGCTGGTGAAATCAGGAAACATTGTGCTTTTGTCAACTGAGAGACGTACGGTTGTTATTTAACGTCTAGTTTTTGGTCCATTCTGTTGAGCCGCTTGGCCTAAGACATAATGGTTTTATTCGGTGTGATTTCATTTGTTTTGCTTTTCCAAAGCTTTTATTGCACCTCCTGAATAAAAATCCAAAATGGTGATGTTCTTTGAGTTTATGTCATTCCCTTTCTCTTTTTCCATTTCCATTTGTTGGTCGGTCAATTTATTTTATTAATTTTTCTCTCACCCCAACTTGGTTGTTTCTAGTAGATAAGGGCATGCCCTGAATATCAATAAAAGATAATATTTTTATAAAGTAATAAAAATAAAGTAACCTTTTTTTGAAAAATATCAAGAAAGGGCAATGATACCTTCCTCTGCGTCTGTATTCATCCTGAATCTCACAACTGTATCGGAGTCAACTGTGGAGTCGTCCAAGACAATGTAATCACATGTGTTCCTCATTAACGCACAGCACCATCGACCAGTTAAACGATCTGACCCGTTTGAGCTTCAAACTTTTGCTCGCAACGTTAACAAGAACCGTGAAGAGCCGTTAGTAGAAAAACGTGATGTAGAGGGGGCCGGGCATCTTCAATGGAAGCGCTGAAACGGAAAATGCACCCACCCCCAACTTGAAATCCAAACCTCCTGTCAAGTTTCCAAGGATTCAAGCATATAAGAACCCACCCATCTCTTTCTTCCAGAGAAATCCAGGTCTTCAGAGCTCGAACACACACATGAAAAAACTTTAAAAGAAACCTTAGCAAAACTGCAAAGGGAGCCCCACCTACAGTGCCCGAATACTCAGGATCATTCGTAGAGTTTCCACGATTGCTCATAGCCAAATCAAACGGAGAGGGGAAAGAAGAAGAGTACGACGTCCTGCCGTCCTGGTACTGGTTTCACGGACCGGATGCTTTTGTTTCAGATCTTTCTTTTTTAAACGAGAGAGAGAGAGAGAGAGAGAGAATTTCAGGCGTTTCAAAAGGGTTTTGGTGGAAAATTCTCCCACGAGAAATGAACAGTCGTGGCGCTGCAATGGTCAGAGACAGTCAAACAGGTAATGCATTGTAAAATAACACACATCAGAAAACAAATGCGAATCGTGAATATCAGCTGTTAGATTTAAAATGTTCGTGGCACAGTGGAGACAACCGTGTTCGTGTTTCGGTTTTCCTTCACCGGTACAGAAAGGGAATTCCGGCCTCCATCACCAGAGGAAGGGCAGAGGAAGACAATGAACAGTGTCATTGCCCTTCGTTGATATTTTTCAAAATAATTTACTTTATTTTAGTTATTTTATAAAAATATTATTTTTTATTAATATCCAGGGCAAAAAGTTGCCCTCATCTGCAACTGCAAGAAACCCTTCTAAATAACTTCTAAGAATCTTCATTCTGCGCCTCTGCGGGACCTATTTTTTGAGCTAACCTGAATTGGGTTTGGGCTGGCTCAATGCATGTTATAGCCCAACTGTTTGCTGCTAATTTATACAGGAAAAAACGGGTTTTGTTATCAGTTCAACTATTAGATTTTAGATCAGGGTTATTTTCTGGAAAATCGTATCCAATTGTCCAAAATAAGGATCCAACCCAAATAAGGTGATCAAATTTTGGTCAATTACGGATCCACCCCCCAACCCGATCTGAAGCCAATATGCTATGGCCTAAATCATGTTACTTTTACGTATCTATCAGGTCCTCGTTACAACTAAAGTAGACCCAACCCAAATTCCATTTGAGTTTTACATACGCTTAAATTAATCATGCGACTATGTGAGTAGCAAAAAAAAAAAAAAATAGAACATGTGAGTTTTACATATCCATCAGGTGCACAGTAAAAATAAAGTAGGCCCAAATTCCATTTGCCACCAAAACTACCGTTCGCCATTACCTTTTTGAATTCTCAAGATTCTTCTTCTATGCGTATAAGACATGGGAAATTATGCACCAGAACAGTATTTAGAAAACCTGACTGGACCGGTAGGTTGGACCAATTGAACCGTAATCGGTCTCTGGCCAGTTCAGTCATACCCCCAAAACTGTATTGAGTAAAAAACTGGCCAAAACCGTTGATCAGGATGGTCGAACTGGAAAACTAGTTATTCCGTCCCGGTTTTAGAAAATCAGCTGTTTTTTTTTTTTTAATTTTTAACATATAAATGAAAATTTCTAAAGGCCATAGCTTTGTATTCAGATGTCCGATTGAAATGATCTTTTTTATTTTGAATAACTTTTTGAGATCTACATGGAAAGAATATTTTTGTCAAAAATTGCATTTTATAGGTTCAAATCTTAATTTTTAATATAAAAATTGAACCTATAATAAAAAAGGTATATATTATAGAAGAATATAATTATATATTTTAAATATATTATAATCTAATTTTTAATATAAAAAGTTCTTCTGTTGGAATCACATCAAGTCTTCTTATCGAACATGCTTTTAGTAAAAAAAAACGATCTCTTAACTAATTAATAACGGGGTTGAAACTCACAATTTGATTCCAACTCAAGTTAATATTGAATCATTGATGTCTGAAATAGCCTAACCCTACACTAAGCCAAGCCCAAATTTTTCATCCAATTCGTCCATTTACTTAGTATGTTGGAAATGGGTTGAAGAAGCATTGGGTCAATTTAAATGAATTGGGTCGGGTTAGGTTGTGGATATCCATTGAGATAATCATTAATGATATAAGTGTGAATTCTTTAGCCATTTCTTTAATTTTCTTTCATTTGTATGAAATAATTTATAATTAATACAATAAATTATATTAATTATTGAATAAAAATAGTTTTGGCTGGAGCCAACATAGTTCACCCAAACTGATATAAATCCAAATTCAATCACATGGCACAATTTGGTCCGATTTGATTCTAGTGCAAAAGTCCCAACTATACCCAAACCGAATCAACCCAAACAATCCAGTAATCTAGACCAACCGGATTTGGGCCGGCCATACCCAACTCTAGATTGGATCATTTAGGTATCCCAACCCAACCTGATTTGGACCGGACCAACTTGATCTGAGTTGGGATTGCATAGTTGACCATCTCAATCTGCTTTGGGTCAGGCAGCCCGATCCCAAATTTGAACCCATGTTAGTCTGGCCTGGACCGACCCAACTGAAAATTGACCCAGTTCGAACAATCCAGATCCATACGGTTTAGGGCCGGTCCAGGTCTGGTACGGTTTGACCCAGGTCAATTCAACCCGGTCCGGAATGACCCAACCAAACTGACCTGGTTTGTGCCAGTTGTCCAGACTCCAATTCCAGATGGTTTGGGTCCTGCCTGACCTGTAACGGTCTGAATCGGGTTGACCCGGTTTGAAACAATCTGACTGAAGCTGACTAGGTTTGGGTCGACCAGTCTGGTCCGGCTCTAGGCTATTCAGACTCGTCCCTACCATATTCGTACCAACTTGGATCCAAACGGTTCCAACCGACCCGGGTCAGTTCAACCCGGTTCAGTTTGAACAGTGTGAGCATAGACTTGCATTTATTGAAGCCAAACTCAAGCGGGGAATAAGATGAATTCCTCTACTTGTGGCAATGCCCAAAGATTTTAATGGCATTCAAGAAACAATCAATTGCTCTAGTGGTGTCCACCGGAAGCAGAGATACGATTTACTCACTAGAAGAAAATTGGTCACTAGATAGACAGGCAAGTTTATTGTTCAAAAATTAGGAGTACTAATAAGCTTTTAATTAGATCCAAAGCCAGTAATAAAATAAAAAATAAGGGATGTTATCTAAAACTCACAATGACTTTTTTATATTTCTCTTAAACTTATCATAACTTTCAAAACCTTCACAGATGTTAGTGAGTTTTGTTGTCCAAAACTCACCTTCCATTAAGATTTTGGTTAGATCACTATTAGTGATCATTAAATATCCTTAAGTTCAAGCCTATAGTAGGCTTGCAAATTTTATAGTCGGGCCTGGGCCCAATATTTCAAGCACAGCCTAGGCCTGGCCCAGCCCACATATATTTAAAATATGTATACATAATTGTTATATATGCTTAAATGCTGTGTAGTAGGTTTGTCCTTCAATTCTATTTCTCAGAATTAAAATGAATAAAATTAGAGATGCAGGGGATCGAACCCTGTACCTCTCGCATGCAAAGCGAGCGCTCTACAATTTGAGCTACATCCCCACATAATAATATTTTATTCTATTTAATAAATCAATTTTCTTTGTCAAATGCCGGTGGCACGATGCATGCGTTACGAATCTATTGTTTAGGAGTCGGTTTAATGACCATACGTCTGATGTAACACAATCTGGGCCATGCTGGTATCATATGGTCATGCTTCAATTCTTAGAAAGCGGTGTATTTGGGCACATCTCTTTGGATAAAAAGGGGCTGTACTCCCATCTTGATTGGTCAAAAATATTCTACTTAGACCTAGCAATTGGGTTGGGTGGGTCGGGTCGTGTCAAGGTATTTGGGGTTGATTCGAGTTGGGTTGAATTCGGGTTGGGTTGTTAACTGCTAGACCCTAACCCTAAATGTTCAGGTTAGGGTTGACCCATGGGTCAATTCAGGTCATCTAAAAAATAATTGAAATTTAAAAAAATAAAGAAAAATTACATGAAAAATGTCAAAATTAAAAGAATTAACCTTAAAATTCCAAATATAAAATAAAAACTTAAACATTTAACAATTTAAAGAGTAAACAATAAAAAGTAAAGACTAAATAGAAAAAATTAAAGAGTGGAAACTTCTAACAATACATAAATAATCTCAATTAGACTTGACAATCAGGTTGACCCATGACCTAACCCAACCCAATCCAACCCAGATTTTTTTCGGGTTGGGTCACTTTCACATTCGGGTTGCTAAATATGAGACCCTAACCCTATTTTTTTGGGTTGGGTTGGGTCGGGTTTGCGGGTTGGGTCAACTTTTTGCCAGGTCTAATTCTACTAGTGCGAATTGTGTACCGAATTTAAAAAAATTGATACTGTATTAGGTAACTTACCCTCGGCCCGTTCAAGTTGTACACCTAAACCCCATTTATTGACCTTTACCCTCTAGGCTGCTTTTGATTGCAGTGCAAATCCTGATTCGTGTAAAACTAATTTGCAACTGGTTCAGTTTTGTCTTCGTTGGTGTAAAATTAAGGGAAATTGTCTAAAAAAAATTCACCATGAATTTTCAGCATTTCTCTTTAACTCGCCACAACTTTTCAAAATGTCTAAAATTCACCATATCAGTAAGATTTTATTTTCCAAAACTTACCTTCTGTTAGTGCACCGTTAATGCTTCTTAACAGAGGTGTCCACATCAGCATAATAACAATTTTCATGACTAAATTACCCTTGGATGGCGAGTTAGAGGAAAATGGTCTTTTTCAGTTTTCAATTTTCATGTTTTGTTTGCATTTTTAGTGTTTTGTTATAATTTCCAATGTTTTTTATAATTTCTATTATTTTACATTTTCTATTTTCTACAATCTATAAATTTTTTCTGTATTTTTTCTTATTTTTTTGCAATTTTTGTGTTTTTCTATAATTTTTGGCGTTTTTTATTTTCTGATTTTGTCTTTCAATTTCTATAGTTTCTATAATTTAAAACTAATTTTTTATTTTATTTTTAATTTCTATGATTTTTTTTTTTATTTTTTGAAATTTCTGTGTTTTTATATATTTTATATTTGAAAATATTTTTTTTGAACTTTTTCCTGTTTTTCATGTCTAATTATTAAAATATATGTATATATTTTATATTTTCCTATTAGGTTAAAATGGTAATATATTAACACCTGTTAGTTTGTTTAATGTCAAGTTAGTGATATTATAAGTTTTAGACATTTTGAAAAGTTGTGATAGGTTTAAAAGAAATGCTGAAAACTCAAGGTGAATTGGCTGATTAACCATATGAATGATTTTAACTGTTTTCCAATTTTTAAAATTTTTTATTTCTTTTATCAAAACGGACCAGTCATTCGGATCGAATGGTTGGACTGTTTAAACCAATAACGGGACCCCTGACCGGTTTAGTCACCGGTTCGTTTTTAAAAACCATGGGATGAATTATGTCTCCATATGCTGAAAAAAAATATATAACCAAAATGTCTGGAATATAAAAGGAGGAAGAACACCCACGTAATACTTTACATTATTTATGTATTATGTATATTTTCCTCCAAATTATCAACAGGCCCTTGGCTTTTACAGAACATCGTGGGGGAGACGGGAGAGACCTCTCTTATTTTTATTTTGGATTCAAATACAAGGTAAACCGCCTTCTGCGCTGCCACGAACCCACCTTCCCATTAATGGCAGCATGCATGAACAGTCCATTAATACATGGAGACTGTCTCTATGGCAATTGCAATACTCATGAGTCATGAAATTGAATGTATATGGAGTAGTTTTGATGAAAGCATCGATCCTTGGTATACGTTGGAGGGTCATAGGATTTGGACCACATCGATCCTAAAATTCCCCCGGCCCAAAGAAAAAGAAAATCAAGAATCCTGACTTCACCCTAGCTACCTAAAATTCTGATAATGTATTGAAATTTAGATCAGAATATAATCTCCCCTTGGAACCAATGAGGATATATATATATATATATATATATATAGGAGGGCATGTTGAAAGACTTAATGTATGGGTCATTCAATATACTGGGCATTCAACTGACTGGCTTGCAGATTGATTAAAAGTAAAATATATAGTCTCCAAACTCGATCGATCACATTAATATTTCCTTTTTAACGAATCCAATATTCAGATCTATAGAAGTTCAATTCAGTATCTTGTTCAAGTTTTGAACCAACCAGGATGTGAAGGTTTGATTCTACAGGTGCAATATATTCAAAGAAAATATATTAGGCAATCCAGCGCGCCCTGAATAGTTCACATATATACTTAGATTAATTTGGATGCCATTTCCGATAGGCTCCGAGTAGTCACAAAAAAAAAAGTAGTTTGTTACAACTCTTTTCTCCGCAAGATTCAAGTTGGGCTTCCAATTTTATAGTAATAAAGAGGCATCATCTAAAACAATTAATGCATTATATGATAATGCCCGTTGTAAGGTCAACTTCCCATTCGATCGAATAGGTTCTCACGAACATGCATTCCTCGGTTTTGTTAGGAGGTTTACTCACTATTCATGGCTTACTTTTTCAGCCTATTGTGTTTTTATTTTCTATGGGAGCGGAAATGAGACATAATAGAGCCATTGTGCATCTTCCTTCCTCTTATTTAATTCTAATGTCCTATCCGTCACAACTTGGATAAAGCAAGAGTTATATATTAAACCAGGAAAAAACGTGTTGAGCCGGATAAACGATCGATAAACAGGCTCTCTTAGCTTGTTGGACTGGGACAACTCCAACCAGATCTGCTCTATTGCGACTGCATGTGCGTAGAACTTGAATGGATCCCATGGGCCAGGCTGACTGATTCAACCAAATTCACCATAAGATAGACTTAGGGGTTAACTGGGATGGACCTATCCCGATCGATGATCCATCCTCTATGGGTTGTTCCTTAGTCATCCAAATCCAAAGTCAACCCTTTTACTATGCACATTGAAAGGCAGCCAGCCCATTAAAGTATATTAAAGAAGACAGACCAGCCCAGGAAAAGGGATGGCGCTTAATAACGCAACTATATAACAATTAACGAGGCCTAGCTAGTTTCCAATATCATCTCAGTGCAGAGGGAGTTATTATTAGTAATCCGCGTCATTATTATTGGGTAGCTAGAGACATGGCTACTCTGAAGCTTATCCCCGTTTTCCTCCTTCTGCAGTTGGTAATCTCTGTTTTCTTCGTAGACCCCATCACTGCGCAGGGCCTGAAAGTAGGGTTCTACAAGAAAACATGCCCATCTGTGGAGGCCATAGTCAAAAAGACGACAGCACATTTCATCTCCAGAGCACCCACCCTCGCCTCTCCTCTATTAAGGATGCATTTCCATGACTGCTTCGTCAGGGTACGTACTACCGTATTTTGGCCTTGCTCCAATTTATTTATATATATATATATATATCTCACTATTAATTTGCTTAATACGTACGTAGCACATCAGTGCTCTTGAACTCTACAGCGACCAACCAAGCTTAATTAATACTACTAATTAAATCAAATTCTCGTTTAATTGTGTATATGCAATCTGCAGGGATGTGATGGTTCAGTGCTCTTGAACTCTACCGCGACCAACCAAGCTGAGAAATCTGCAATCCCCAACCAAAGCCTTCGCGGGTTCCAGGTCGTCGATGCTGCAAAGGCCGCTGTAGAGAAAGCATGTCCCGGAGTAGTCTCATGTGCAGACATTCTTGCCTTGGTAGCAAGGGATGTTGTGTCCCTGGTAATTGCAATTTCTCTCTCTCTCTCTCTCTCTCTCTCTCTCTCTTATAAAAAATAATTACTTACCGATCGGTCGACCCATATGTATGTAACTATGTATTACGTACGACTAAGTAGCTAGATTGCTTCCTTTGATCAGATCGAAGGACCACGTTGGGAAGTTCCCACTGGACGGCGAGATGGAAGAGTGTCGTTGGCCTCGGAAGCCCTGACAAATCTGCCACCCCCTTTCTTTAACATCACCCAACTGAAGGCATCATTCACCAGAAAAGGTCTAAGCGTGAAAGACCTGGTGGTGCTCTCAGGTGGACACACAATTGGCAATTCCCACTGCCCCTCCTTCACCAACCGGCTATACAACTTCACCGGCAAGGGAGACACTGACACCTCTCTGGATTCCAACTACATTCCCAAGTTGAAGAGCAAATGCAAGCCAGGAGATGTGACCACCATCGTGGAGATGGTTCCTGGCAGCTTCAAAACATTCGACGCTGATTACTACACGCTCGTGGCTAAGAGACGAGGACTCTTCCAATCCGATGCTGCTCTTCTCACCGACAGCGACACAAGGGCTTATGTCAAGCTCCAGGCTTCCACCCATGGATCTACCTTCTTCCAGGATTTTGGGGTGTCCATGGTCAACATGGGTAACATTGGAGTCCTTACTGGCTCCGCTGGTGAAATCAGGAAACATTGTGCTTTCGTTAACTGATGAGCAACGTCTACTTTTTGAATTTGGACTTTGGAGCATAATAGATTTTGTCGCTGTTGCGTGTCACTTGGCCTTGGCGTTCCAACTTCCTAGGTCTGATGAAGGGGAAGGATAATACTGAGAGGACAACGCCCTTCCCCAGGCTTTTTTCACTGTTGATCTGGAATATTGTGTGCTCCCACGTTAGTCTAGCTATTGGTGTTTTTTTTTTTTTGGTTCAATATGTAACAACTAAACAATAAAGTATGCTCCTCTTGCTTTAATTTCTTCGATATTCCTTCCTGAACAAACCATGGTTATTGGATAGTTGACTTCCAAGTTCCCAACTGCAAGTTATTTAACTAGAATCTTGGGCCCTGGGAACACAGAAGTCATACATGATAGGTCACTGCCCAATGGGCCTGAGCACCCGAAACTTTTCACTTTCACCTGAAACTGCTGCCACCATCAGAGATGACTCCTACCTAGCAAATGAACCGGGCCAAAATTGATTACGGCCGGTGCCATCTATTCAGCAAGAAATTTTTTAGGATTTTACAAATTTTCTGACAAAAAGAATAATTTTTTAAAAAAGTGTTTTGCCTAGAGTTAAGAAAAACATGGAAAACGAAGTTTTTTGGAAATGCAATGCAGGCATGGGTAGAATTTGGGGTTCTGTTGGAAGGCTTTTTGACCCAAAGCCCTCTACTGTTTACCAATAGGATGTTTCGACCAGTCCTATCCAGATGGGTCCTTTGCTCTATCGAATCCACTTTGAACGTTTTGCCTTGGTGAAGCTTATGTTTTTCAACTTGATCCTGAAATAACAGGAAAATAAATTCTTGGAACTTTTTTTTTTCTAGAGTAGAATTTTGCAAACAAAATAAACAAGAACTTAGCGTTTAAAGAAAAAAAAAAGCTTAGAAATAAAGAGAAGAAAACTTTGATAAAGTTGACAAGAATTTCTTGCTTTAATTTCTTTTCAGTAAAACTAGACCTTCCTCGTTCCCTCTCATCGTGAACTTAGGCTCTTGCACTTTCATATTATAACAAAGGGTTCGATTATGATATAGAAAAGATATGATATATGAAAAACTTTTGATTGGAATCATAAACGAGTAGCCAATTAGGTGTTATTTATCAAAATTTATGGATGGATTTTGATTGGTCAAAACTCTTTCCATACCATATCTTTTCCGCATCATAGATTTTCCCTATAACAAATGACCCCTTCCCATCATCATTCCATCATACTTTTTCTTGACATTAATCATTCCTTCGATGTCAACACTTGGATGGGATAATATATATATATCCTTGAGCTTTCGAGTTAAACTTAAGCTCATCGAATATTTAATCAAACAGCTCAGCTCGACTCAACACTTGGATGGGATAATATATATTGGACTTCTTCACAGGACACATCATCAACCCCAACAACTTCCTCCTCCCACAGAATCCTCCCATACAACTAAACCCAGCACCTGAACCCACCATGCACTTCGAAGCTGACCCATTTTTCACACCATTCCCACTGTTTAACGCAATATTGGATCTTCATGTGGTATGGAAGCAGCATTGTGTCCGATGGATCACCTTATAGAGGACCCGCTTGCAGCTTTAGACTTCAACATAACAGCCCAAGGCACAACTCACAGCTTTCCACTGCTTTTGCACTCTCAAGTACCCCTCCATCATTCAAATTGTCATCTATTACGTTACTATATTTACTTACTATTGTTTCAGTTTTTCTTTTTTATCTTTCCCATCAATTTACCCATTACACATATCAAAACAAAAATAATCTCCTAGAATACCAGGGGAGAGCAAATGACCCCCAAAAAATTCAGAGAATTGTACAAACTCTGTGAGACAAAAAAACTAGACATTCTATTCATCTGTGAGACAAAACTATCATCTTCTAAAAGCTCAAGGCTTGCCCAAAAATTGGGTTTTAACAATCATTGCAACTTCGTAGATGAGGGCCTTGCAGGAGGTTTGTGCTTGGGTTTCTACCATTGACTTACAAGTTATCCAAAACCACAAACACCTATTACACCTCCAAGTTTATAACCTCCCACTGCACCAAGCCTAGCAACTTCTATTATTTTATGGACACCTCTAGAGATAGGACTGCAGATCTCTCTGGCAATATCTCATTAAAACCCAATCATCAACCACACTCCCTTGGCTTCTCATGGGCGATATCAATGACATTTACTTATTCCAAGATCATAAAAACTTCAGAAACTCAAGACCACACTCTCCACCTCTCTAAGAACTTCATTATCAACTTTTGACTAATAGACTTCGACTACATAGGTCCCTCCTTTACTTGGACAAATGGTTAACAAGGTCCCTCAAAAATTCTAGAAAGACTTAACAGAGCCCTTACCACTCCTTTGTGGTGTGAATTCTTCCCTAACTCTCTTCTCTTCCACTTTCTCATCATATCTTTGAATCATGGTCTTATCAAACTACACATTAATCACACTCCTCCACCCAAACACCCTCACTTTCATTTTCTTCCTTTATGGACCGAACACCTAGATTGTAACAACATCATCACAGCTTCATGGGAATAAAACATAAGGGGTAGTCTAGCTCACCAAGTTATTTCTAAGCTAAAGATCTATAAAAGCTCTCTTAAAAAATGGAACAAGGACTGTTTTGGGAAGATTTAGACTCACATTAAGAACTTATCATTGCCACTCTACAACTGAACCCCTCTAGAATATCATTACTGGCTTCTCAAGGAAGAACAACTCTAGAGATTAAAATCTAGTGAACTTTGGTTATGAGATGAATACAAAAACACCAAGTTCTTTCACCACATAGCAAACCATAAGAACCATAAAAATAGCATTTAATGGATGAGAAAAGTTGATGGTTCGTGGACTTTTGATAAGGAGGAAATTGCCCAAATGTTCATAAACTCAGTCAAAGATATAGGGGATAATCTAGAACTACAAAATCAAATATTCGAGAGTCGAATGTTAAACAATATCAATCTGCCATCTTTACAACAGAATCAAATAAACTCGTTCTTATCCCCTCCCGCCCTAGAAAAAATCTCTGTAGTAGTGAAATAAATGCATCTGCACAAAGTTCCTACTCTTGATGGCTTCACAGGCTATTTTTACCAACATTTCTGGAATTTAGTGGGCCCAGATATCCACAACCTAGTTTTCCAATTCCTTAACTCAGAATACCTACCCAGAAAACTAAACAACACTAACTTGGTCTTCATTCCCAAAAACAATGCTCCCATGGACACCTCCAACTATAGATCAATCAGTCTGTGCAATGTGCTTTCAGATTTCAGCCTATCCTATAGGACCTAATTTTCCCATTCTAGTCACGTTTCCTCAAGAATAGGTAGATGGTAGAAAACATTCTACTAATGCGAGAAATTGACCATATTTTATGATCCCAGAGGAAAGAGAAAGGATATATAGCCCTCAAACTTGATATGCCATAAGTTTTTGATAGAATAAGATGGTCCTTCCTCAATCATGTTCTTAAGAAAATGAATTTTCTAGATAAATGGTGCCACCTAATTCATGAATGTACTACCACAACCACTTTTTCAATTAAGATGGCTAGGAGATCCGTTATCTCTTTATCTATTCATTATTGGTATGGCCCAATTGCTTCAATAGGCTAAATAGGATGGTGCAATTGAAGGCGTCAAAATCTGCAGAACAAGTACCCCTACCACTCATCTACTATTTGTAGATGATTGTGTCTTGTTTTGTAAAGCAGATGTTCTCCAAGTCAAAGCCTTAGTGGACATTTTAAATACCTTTGAATCTTTGTTGGGCCAAAAAATCAACTATGCCAAATCGACCATCAGTTTTAGTAGAAATTTCCCAAGACATCAACAAAAGATTTTGGCCCACATACTTAAAGTTAAAAATCCAATGATGGGGACAAAATATCTGGGTGCGAAAATCGATGTAAAACTCAACACAAAGCTTCTCATAAAGAAGTCCTAAACAGAATAACCACCAGGATTAACTCTTGGAGTTCTAAGCTGCTATCTCAAGCAGAAAGAACGACTCTAATAAAATTCTTTCTCTAGTAAATACCCATATGCTCCATGGCATCATCTATTCTACCAGTTTTAGCACACTCAAACATTAACAAATCTTTGAGAACATTCTGGTGGAACAATGGTAATTACAACTTAGCACACACAATCTCATGGGAGAAGCTCTGCAGACCCAAATCAAAAGGAGGGATTGGTTTTCATAACAACAAATTAATGAACCAAGCAATGTTTGGTAAGAAAATTTGGAGACTTGTTAAACAAGACCAAAACTTATGGTGTAAGGTTATCAAGGAAAGGGACATGAAGCTCATCATAGTGGCAACAAGCCCATAAGATGATCCCTAATTTCAAGCCCAACCTGATATGGCTCGTTAAAGATGGCATCAAAGTTAAAACTACTGCTGACCCATGGGTCCCCACCATTCCTGGTAATATACCTAACACAATCTCGGCCAATCCAACCCCCTCCAAGTTGCAAACTTCCTAAATTTGGATGGACCATGGAACCTCGAATAGCTGTGATGAAGGGTGATTTGGTGCAACCTAGCGAGAAGGGGACACATGGACAAGGCCTGATTAAGGGATGACGGCTCAGCTTGGCAAGCCTATTTCACAACGTTTGAGCTCGGGCGTTCGGTCACCTTGGCGTAGAGTCACCTCGGCGTCGGGGCACCTCGACATTCAATCCAATTCGGAACTAAAGAACCGAAGTATCAGCTCGGGGCTAACAGCCCGAACGGCCACGTAACGACTCCGGAAGTTTCTCCAGTAAACTCTGAACCTCACAGGATCACACCGCATAACAACAGGCTTTATCTTCTCCCCACCCGGATCGGGCAGAAACAATAGACTTTATTGACTGATACGTACTCCCCAATTAAAGCGGAAACAGATCGCATCCCCTCAGGCCGAAGATCCCGGAACTGTTTCGTGAAATCTGCAGGAGTTCAGCTATATAAGAGCAACAACCCCTCCAGGGCCCAGGTATGCGTGATCACTCTACTCTCTAACTCTCAAGCTCTCAGATTCTTAAAGCATTCAGCTTGCAGATACTAACTTAAGCATCGGAGCGACCTCGTCGGGTTAGCCACCCTGGGTTCTCTGATCCATCGTCTTGCAGATTGATCCAGCTCGCTGCTCGATTGGAAGCCAGATTGTCCTCCAGTTGGGAATAGTCAGATCGCGCCACATCAAACTCCAACTCTTCTTCGATAATCACACCATCTCCCATATTCTACTCATTGAGCATTAACCGCAACTACCCAATGACAAACTCATTTGGAAAAGAAATAAATCTAGTGTGTATTCTATCAAATCGGCCTATTTCTCACTCCTTACCCAACAACCATCCCCCTCCTCCACTCATTTCATTTGGAACCTAATTTGGAAACTCAAAATTCCCTTTTGGTTTCAAGTTTTTGCCCGAAGATGCTATGGGACGGATTCCAAACAAAAGACAAAGCACACAAGCAATCACTTACATAGGATCAGATATGTTGTATTTGTAATGAAGAGAGAGAAACTTCATTTCATCTCCTATTCAAATGTCCTTTTGCAAGGGCTATTTGGTGTACAACTCAGATTGGGTTAAACACAGACATTATGGAGCCAAAGACTATACCCCAAGTTATTTCCGAATGGATGACAAGGCTCCAAAGGGTGGTGGACAAGGAGCAGGCTCAGATTAGCCTAGAAAAATTTTGTACAATTTCATACTTCACTTGGGAAGCTCGAAACAAAAACAAAATTTGAACAAATTCAACCAAACCCACTTACTGTGCTAAATAAAGCCTCATTGAACTACACCCATTTAGATTTTCAAATCTAGTCAACACCTCACACCCAGGCATCAACATCTGAACCAACCATCTCTCTCTTGTCTGATGGCTCTTTTGGCCAAATAACAGGTCTTATAGGACAACGGTTCATCATCCAATCACCCTCTAGAGAAATTATCAGGGCAGAAGGTCACCCGTGCTCGGCCATTGACAGTTATGATGCCGAAATCCGAGCGATAATCGCTGGACTCTCCACAATTGCTGCTTTAAATATACAACAAATACCCGTGTTTTCTGATAGTAGTAATCTGATTAATTATGTAAAGAATGACAACAGGCCAAAAGACTGGATCGAGCAACTTCATGAAGGCCATATCCAACGCCTATTAGCATACTTACAGTCCTGTTCTATTGTACATATTAATAGGAACTCTAACACCATATCCCCTCTTTTTGCATATGTTGCATGTAAGGGCCAGGTGATCTTGAACTTCAATCCTGCTACATCATGCCATGTAAATTTCAGAAATTATGAATGAAGTTCTCTTCCTTCTGCTGAAAAAAAACCCAACCTACCCCTTTTAACAAGACTTTCCTGCCTTCAAGAAGGCTCTTCCAACCCCATGAGCCAGCTCTAGGCAACTTGTCATTTAGAAGAGATTTATGTTTCACATATTTTGCTCTTACAACCCTTGCCCACAAACTGTCTTCCTCACTGGCTATCCTCCAAGCTAATTTTGCTAGGAGGGCTCTATTAAAGCAAGCTGGATCTCTGAACCCCAACACCCATCTAGTTTGTTTCTACTTAATTGGGTCCAACTAATCCACTAATACCCTTTTGGCCGCTATTTTTACCCCACGAGAATTTTCTTTGGGAATTTCTTAGGTTCTTTAAAATGTTTTCAGACAGAACAAAACAAGAGATGCTATAAGTTGGGATAGCATTTAGAACAGATTTGATTAAGACTTCCTTACCTGCTTGATTCAGGAATTTACCTTTCCAGTTTGAAGCTTTACTTTCCACCTTATCCACAAGAACATTCTAGCTTTTGATTTGCTTTCAGGCAGAAGGACACGATATATCTAATAAGTTAAATGGGTGGACTCGAAGCTTATTCTTCTGAACCACTTATAATAGGATAAGAAAGGACCTTAATCCAACATAATATTGTGATTTTGCTAGTGCTGTTGGTTTTCTCGTAGCCAAAAGAAGACTCGTTTGTATAATTAGGAGGTGGGACCCATTCTTTTAGTTTTGACAAGCCAAGAATTGATCTCTATAATGAATTATTATTGTTTGGATACAACTTGGAGGTTAAATCTTCGGATAAATGGCATCCAACATTGTCCTGAACATTTGCTTTTTTCTTCCTGCAATTATTCTTTTAAAGATCAATTCAAATTGGCATTGTTAGTAAACAATACCATTGGTATTGAGAAGTTGTTTTGATCAATAGAAGAACAAAAATGATCTAAATGAATTCGATTTTATAGCTTTCAAACCCTTTAAAGGCTTGTATGCAACTGTAAGTTCGAGCCAGGACCAAGAATAATTTCTAATGTTCCTTTCCAAATTTAAATTCATTGATATTGTCCTTCTACTTCCCTCTCTTTTTTTTTTTCTCTCTTGTGCCGAAAGCCCTTAGACTAATTTCATCCTACTTTTTGTATCCAGGAGTATTATTACTTTGTAAATAAATGATTCAAGAAACTACGGACCACAGACCATAAGGGTCCTACGTTTCAAACTATAGACATGAATATAGAAATCATGATTTTCGATTAAGACTCCAAGTTACTTAAGCTGGGCTGCTGGGGTATAATTGGGTCTTGTTCGGAATCAAAATCGATCCCGATCCAATTACAATCAGGACACAATGCAGGCCCAGACCCATATAATCGGATTTTGGATATGTTGGTTCTATCAGGCCCATTAAAAGCCCTATAAGTAAACTGTGCTTCATTGAGGCCCAAAGTAAGAGGTTGAATGGTTGTAGACTGGTGTGGGGCTTTATCATTGTGCCCACAGTCCACATCCTGCTGAACAGCTAATCCTATCTTGGACTCTAGGGTGTTCTTTTTTCAGACTGTGAGAGGGGGCAAAGTTGGTTAATGGGATTTTGATTTCCATTGATTAAGAATCTCATGTTCTTTTTTTAGATTTATGTGGGGACTAGGGAAAGTTTATTTTCTTGGGTATCTCTAACCCGGGAAATAATTTTCCCAACTACACTAGCATTTACCCATGTTCTTTTATTTTCCTTGGTATCACTAGGTGGGTAAATAACTTTCCCACCTAAAGAGAAAAATGCCCTTTTCAATAATGGATTTTTATGACTAAAATGGTCATTGCCTTATTTTATGAGAAATAAAATAACATGGATAAATGCACTTACTCCCGAATAAATAACTTACTGAAAAGTGAAACGGGGCCTCAGTGTTCCAATAAAACTGGATATACCTAAGGATTGGTCCACAACAGCACAACCTAATTGCTCAAGTAACAAGTCACACTTACCAAAATAAACCAAACAAACGAGCAAAACTTGAGGAGTGAATGTAATAAAAAATATGCTAGCTTTTTTTTTATTTTTTTTTTCTGTTTTTGCTTTTGTTTTCAGAAAATTGGCAATTGTAGACAAACAAGAACACGTATTCTTCTTTGTAAGATCACACAAGGACAATTAAGTAAACAAAAGATCTCATCATTCAACTTAACTCCACTCTACAAAGCTGTATCCCATTTTCATCACTCCAAAGAAGGAACACGACACAGAGTTGCTTGATTAGAACAAAGCTACCCCGATCAGCCAAGCTCAGCTATTCACAACCGAACAATGCTTCCTAATCTCACCTGAAGACCCAGTCTTAACGTCAATCTGACCCATCTTCTCCATGGACTTGGCGAATTCCGTGTAGAAGTTTTCAAGTGTTCCCTGGAGAAGTTGGTTGATGAAAGATCTTGAAGTGGAGTCTGTGGTCAGTGCAGAATCTGACACGAATAGACCCCGTCTCTTGAGTAGGAGTTTGTAATAGCTAAGATCAAAGGTCCTGAAACTGCCTGGATCCATCTCAACTATGGTAGTATTGTTTGTAGGTGTCTTGCACTTCTTTGCCTTTAGATTTGCAGCATACTCGCTATCTAGAGCAGGATCTTGATCACCCACACCTGTGAAATTGTAGAGTCGGTTGCTGAATGCAGGACAGTGAGCGATTCCAATTGTATGGGCCCCTGGGTTGATCGACATGAGAGGTAGAATCATCAGTCTGCTAAACAACTTGTCAGGAAAAAAGAAAAGACACTAATCCACAGAAAACGATTATTTCTGTTGACAGATGAGCATACCAGAAAGCAGAACAAGATCTTTCACATCGAGTCCTTTATCAGAAAACCTTTTCTGGAGGGTGGTGAAGTTGTTGGTTGGAGCAGGTATTTGGGATAAAGCCTCCGATGCATTTGAAATAACCCCATCTCTTCGTCCTGTTGGAACTTTCCAAGAGGGTCCTCCCTGTTATTTGCAGGATGAGTAAGAAGATATGGGATTGAGTTGTGATGTAGAAATAATCATAGAAAGAGTAAATTGAATCTTGTTTCCTCGAGTGAATTGAAGTTGGCAGGTCAATCCTTACTGTGGCAACAATTGAGTCTCTTGCAACCAAGGCAATGATATCAGCACAAGATACTACACCCGGGCACTCAGCTTCCAGTAAGCTCTTTACTCTGTCAATGAAGTCAAAGCCTCGGAGTGTCTGATTTGGGATTGCATTCTTTTCAGCAGTTTGGTTGGTCGAAGTGGAATTGAGCAGCACTGATGCATCACATCCCTGAGCATACAAATTAACAATAGTAATTCATATGTTAGCCAAACCAGAAGACCCAGAATAAATAAAATTACAAGTAGTACTGGAAATTGAAGGTACATGTTAAAACAATGGGAAACAGAGGAAAACCCAAAAAGTAAAGACACTAACCCTCACAAAGCAGTCATGGAAGTGCATTCTTATAAAAGCTGCTGCCAGGGATGGAGCATTATGGATATGCTTATTCACAAAATCTAGTACAATCTTCTCAGCTTTTGGACAGCTCTTATCATAAAAGTCGAGCTTTAGATCAGCTTGTGCTGAACCCAACAAACACAAAACACCCAAAATTACAATCCCAAAACAACCTATGTTTCCCATTGTAGCTAGTTTGGAAGAATTTCCCACTCTCTGAGCCTCTGCACTGTATGGGAACAACCATGGAAGGAGATTTATAGGCCTTCATCAATTATTTGAATTGAGCCCCAGCTAAGAAGGAAAGCATTGAATTCGAAACTTCTACACTCAAAGTCTAACCACCATGTGCTTTTATTGTAGTACTTTAATGTGATAATGACAATATATCCTTGATGCCGGAAATGTATGATTGATACCAAATGCGGCTATAGAAATGTTATTACTTGGGCTCGCTCCGGATAGAACAGGCCCGCTGGTGAAATGAGGTTTTAATACTATCTAGATCTTTTGTTTTATTGTTCAAAGCTAGCTCAATATCTAATTGCATGCACATATTGTTAGACAGTGTATGCCCTTAGCTCCAATCAGAATGATGTACCTTATAACATTTGATGTAATGAATAAAGTACATATTTGATTCATATTACTATGGTGTGTTTCTGTGAAATATTCTTAAATTGGACACTTATGAGAGTTGTGTTAGTTTAGAATCTTCATAGTCGTTGGATAAATCTAGAGAGATTTATCCTACCAAGGCTAACACTGATGTGCTGCTAAATTGGACAAAGTGAATGATCAGGGATGCACTATCTCTGATGGAAACCAAACCTACCGGCAGTCGATTTCAACTGTTGAAATTTGTTTTGCAAAAATATATTTATATAGACACACACACACATATAATATATATATATATATATATTATGGTTTCAAAATATTTGCAAAAGGTTTTAATTCCTGGGATCCATGTGAGTAGAGAGTGCAGCACTATACCTTGCAGCTGAGGGAGAGGTCCTCTATTGTCGGGCAGTGTTTGATCATTATGGGCTGAGAGGTTAAGTGTAAGACCATTGAGGGTAATACCTGATGGGCTAATCATGCATCTACCCACAGTCCTTGGGTTTTTATAAGGTGGCTTGACTCAATGACCATTTAGTGTAAATGTTGGGTCCATTAAGAGCCCATGGTGATGGACTCGGGGGTTCACTATCTCCTACAGTGAATTCGGCCAGGCCTTGTAACAGAGGATGGGCTGAACCCATATGTCTGATGTGTAGATCAATGTTTGGGTCCCATGCCATACAAGGACATCCAACTGGGCAGTAGTCTGGAGGATAAGTGAGCACACAGACTTAATGGGCCTAAAACCCAATTCGAATTGGTTTAGTTAGATTAATTAAAGAGGGGTGGTTCTAGGATTTAGATCAGCATATAGGATAAGAGATTGTCTCTATCCACTCAGAGAGTCTAGATCCAAATAAAGATTTGAATCAAGAAACTCCTAATTAGATTAGGAGGGCTGATCTTTATCTGTAGATAAGATAAGGGATTATCCTTATCTCTTAAAGAGAGTCAAGATCCAAATACAAGATTTGGATTAGGAAACTCCTAATGGGATTAGGAGAACTTCTCTTTAAGTCTATAAATAGAGGAGGAGGGCGAACCCCAATTTATGCATAAGATTACTGATAAAAGAGAGAAGACAACATACAGTTGGACTGATGCCATCTTCTGCTCTTGCCTTCTCTTGCTATTGCTGCCATTGCCAGTTTGATCTCCACCTGTAGGAGCGATCAAGAAGGGTTCTTGATATCACCTTTTGGCAGAAAAGGTGATCTGAAGTCGTACTTACTCGCCCTCCATCAGATTCTTGGTGAAGAATCAGGTTCTTACTGAAGATTCATCCTACTGATTCAGCTCCACCCTACGTTGTGTCATCTTTAGTGGGAGCAGTCTTTGGTAATCTCCTTGGGCGTGAACACCTTCGTTGGGAGTTATTGTTACTCCGTATCAGGTATATCCCTCTCCTACCTTTTTGGTTTCAGATCTGGTTCGGTTTAGGTTCAAGATTGGTCCTTGAAAATGCAGTTTTCTAAAATAGGAAATGTGATTCCCACATGGGAGAGAAATTTTTGAAATTTCGCCCTACCTTCCTGTAGGGTTCGGTCATCCATATGATAGATCTTTCATCCCTTCAGTGGTATCAAAGCCATGTTCAAATCTTGAACCGAAATTGGCCAGATCTGAAACTGCACAAATGGGTAGAAGGCGTCCTACCCGATTTGCGTAGATTAATGATTTTCTGGGAAATCTATTCCCAAATTAAGGGTGATTGATCTGAAATTAAATCTTTTTAAATCTTATATATATTTAGAATTGTTCTTTATATTTATCTTGATTTACGGGTTGTTCGTACGGTGGAGATCGTATTCTTGATTGACGCAAGAAATCTGCGTTTTGTAGTTCTTTTACATTCTTGTCTGTAATTAATATTTTTTAATTTTTAGACTGAATGTATAGGAATTCGATTTGATGTAACATTAATAGAAATTAGGGTTTTCTATTTTATTCCATTCAATTTCGAAGCTGATTGCGCAGAAGGAAGGAGTTTCGCAGATTAGGGTTCGACTATCTGCCATTTGCAGTATGAGAAACTGCAAACTGCGAACTAACATCTGTTTTGCAGGGTAGCATATCTACAAACAGCCCCTGTACTGATTCTTGAATGTCTTTTATCAGTAATTTAATTTCAGATCATAATCTTGAATTAAATCTTGAATTAAAAATCAAACCCTAGACCCATTCGAACCAGATTGGATCAAACTGGTTGGACCGAATCTGTGGTTCGATGGGGGCTGTTATCAGCCCTAATTTTTCATTCTTGGGTCTAGGGGTTGATGGTTAATTGCAAGATGCAATTCAGCCCACACCTGTAAAACCTAGTTTTAATGTGTTAAAACTAATTTAGCCCATTAGCTGCATAAAAGCTATATGAGTGGAACTGCTCTTTGCAATTCCGCCCATACACCTAAATAATATTACTCAGTAATATTATGGATTATTATGGGCTTTAATAATGGATTTTACAGATATTAATTGATTGGATCAATTTTGTTCCTGCATGTGATGTATGGATGTGTGATGTGCAACGTTCATGGGCATAAGTACTTGGCCCATGTTGATACGATAGTGGCTCTTGCGCACACTATGGTTGAATGCACATCATTGCCATGGTATCCTTAAGATTATTGGATGATATCCCTTCATGGTGGGCCCCACACCAGCTTCTTCCCCAAGAGGAACCGTGCGGAACCCTATCCGTTTAGGGCCCATCGAAATCTGGCTTTATGAAAGTCAGTGGGAGCCACTTTGGTTTGACCTAAATTAAACTAGGGCGTAATAATTTTGTTCCCTCCGCTAAAATATGAATGCATGTGATAGGGAGATTCATATGATGAACTCTCTAAAGGCCTTCCATCATTAGCATGAAGATGGGTCATTCAGTAATGAGGAAACACACCATAAAATTGAGCTATCAATTTGCTACTGGATCTATTGGATTGTTTCATGAGATGATAGGGGCATCATAGACCGATGTGGGAGGGGCCTATCCTAAAATGGAAGACTCTCTCACGGTACCTTGGCATTCACGAACATGATGGGTGAGCACTCACTGGATAGAAAGGTTTAACCTAAAATGGCAACGAACCTTGTCTGATGGAGGCCAAAGGGAAAGCTCATAAGATGAGTGGATATAATCCTTCATAGAAAGGTACAGTTGGCTCCATGCACCCTATGTGATTTCCCACATTTCTAGAGACATAAATCGCAGTCTTCGTCACTAAGATAGGAGGGAAATCTCAGAAATGAACAAATGGAAATGGAACATAGATTAAAAGCCATATCTATGTAGATAACATGAATCAAATAAGGTTGTGGACTAATATTTGCTTTTTATCAGAAATGGCAAACGAGCAATTCGCAAAATTGTTGGATGACAACAAATTTAAGGGCCCTAACTATGTTGACTGGTACCGTAATCTTATGCTGGTCCTAACATAAAAAAAAAAAAAAACTGGACAAAGTAGCTAAAAATCCTACCCCGAAGCATCCGGGTTACAGGGCTTCTGAGGCCCGTAGGAGGGACTACTAGGAATGGGAAGAGAAAAATTCCCTAGCCCACTGCTATATCATAACATCCTTAGACAATCTGATACAACAACAGTTTGATCAGATCGAATTGTCCAAGGATATCCTAGACAGTCTAAGGACGATGTACGAAGAGCAAAATTGTTCTACTCGGTAGAAGGTTTTGAAGCAGTTCATGACCGCGCAGATTTCCAAGAACCAACAGGTTCATGACCATTGTCTTAAGATGATGGATTACATCAATAAACTTGAGGCTCTTTGATCCAGACTTGACCATGTCACAATGGTGGACACCAGCCTAAATTCTTTGTCTCCTTCCTTCAATCAGTTCATCATGAACTATAACATGAACAAGCTAAATGTTAGCATCCAGGAACTCAACAATATATTGCAGAGGGCCGAGGAACTGATTAAGAAGGATGAACCCATTGCCATGCTTGTTGAAGCCAGCAAATCGATCAAGAAGAAGAGGAAGGCTAAGAAAAAGCCTCAGAAGAAAGCTACTAAGTTCAAGAGGTAGAGGAAGGACAAAGCATCATATGCTTGTCACTTCTGCAAGCAGGCCGACCACTAGAAGAGGAACTGTCCTCAGTACTTAGAATCCAAGAGATAAGGTAATTTCAAATCCTGTGTCATAGAAACAATTCGTTGGTAACTTCTGCTTCCTGGTGTATTGACTCTGGGGCTTCGACTCATGCGTGTAACTCACTGCAGGGGTTCAGGATAAACAGAAGACTAAGTAACGGCGAAGTAACTCTTTACTTGGGGACTTCTGCAAGTGTTGCAACTACAACTATAGGAACTGTAGAGTTAATTTTCAGAGAAGGAACTCTTGTACTAAAAGATTGTGTTTATGTACAGAATTTAAGAAGAAATCTAATTTTTATTTCAAAACTGTGTTCAGATGGATATTTTGTTTTCTTTAGTAATACGATTACTATTAAAAGAAATAACAAATTCCTCGCATACGGAGAACTTGAGAATGGTCTCTATGTTCTCCATCCTTCTCTAAAAACTAACATAATTGAAACTTTGTCGGATGATATCCCCCAAAAAAGAGCCTGTGATACAGTTAATCCCACATGCCTG